GCCAGCTCCACTGAGCAGAGCTTTGAACTTCACCGTAAGTAAAGGCACAATTATTGCAGCAGTTACTTATTTATTTTTATTTTCTTTCCCAGAAAAATCAAAGAGCAGCTACAAAGCTACGCGAGTTACAGGTATCTTATGGCACTAACTCAGGCTCTGTATAAAACTCCACAAACAGGACTGTGGTATTTGGTAACAGCTCTGTAGTGACCCTCACTGGTGATAAAATCCAGAGCTCTGAAAACGAGAAAATGAACACCTGCATCTGTATTTCTAAACTTTCATCAAGTGGGGATTACAAGAACAAGAGCAATTATAGACATTTTCCTAGAGGAAAACTCCCAAGTTCTCCAACAGAATCAAAAAGTAAGTATACTAATAGCAATATACCTAACTCCAGCAGAGAATAATTTAAAAAAAAAAAATTAAAACTAATTTGTACATCCTCCCAGTTGGGAATGAAAAATTTCAGTTCAGTCAGAACACACTCCTGATTTGCAAAGCTTTTGTGTAAACAACTGTTAAACTTGGTGTGCCTATTATCTGTTTCATGCTTGTCCATCTGGTGGTGCCTTTTTGCTGAAGCTGAGGGTACAGAAGAGTTCTGACCCATTTCTCTGCCCTGAGTGCTTTGCTGGGCAGCAAGTATGTTGTGTCCAAATTAACTGCAGTAAGAATTAATTGCTGGGTCCAATTTGCACATCTCTTTGTTTCAAACACCTGCTTTAAGTTTACTACAGCCAATGGAGAGATTTTTTCATTTTGATACACTATGCTGAAATAGAAGTAAGTCAAGAAAAAAGCCCAGTGACAAACAATAAAGAAAATAAGTTATTCCACATGTTACAGTCTACTATCAAAAATGTTGTCAGAAAATGATGCATTCACCCAACTTTTCTTAGCTTTGAAACCATCACACCATGGTGTGAATTTTAAAACATGTTTATTATTTGTCTAATCATACAGCTTAGGATTAAGCACAGAAGGTTTGAATACAACGCAGCTGTATGAAAAACAGTCCTCTAACCCCCACCCATGACTCCGAGCTTTCTTAAACTCAATTTTAAAAGGTATCACATTCAGACTTCTAAACCTGCTTTTAACTTCTGCAGATACACACTCAGTTGCAAGCCAGGGGCAGCAGCAGGAATAGTGTCATGAGAAATGAAGACTTACCCTGACCTAATGATACATGACATAGAGCAAAGTAAGATTTGGAAAAAGCATTTCCCCCTTCTGATTCTATTGAGAAGTTCCCAGTATTGTCAGCCTTTCCCAAAACCACATGCAAGACTTAGACAAGGATTTTGTTCCATGTGCAAGCAGCACATTTTTCAAAACCACACCAAGAGCTGTCACTACTAAAAAGGCACAGTAAATTGTCTTTATCAATTTTAAGTGTTAACAGAGACCAGCTCAGACAAAAATGGTGCATTTAATTGTGTGGTTCTGCAAAGTTCTGAGATGGCAATCAATGCTCAAAAGATGAAACTGCAGCTCCAAAACCAGACTGAAAAGAGAGGCTGATTGGAACCTTCTTTCTGTAAACCCAAAACAGGCACGGTTTGAAGCCAAGTACTGTAAGCAGATTTCTCGTATTGATCTTTTGGTAGCTGTGCTCACAAGAAATTAATTTTATGCTAGATTGAGAGGTTACAAGAAGTTTCCTGTCTGCACAGTCAAAATATTATTGAAGCAATTCAGGTTGTCAGTAAAAGCTTAAACAAATTTGCTGATAATCCTGTTAATGACCTAGGTCAAGTGTTAACTGTTGTGGGTTATAAAACAGTGAAATTAAGGTGGCTGGTACCCTCAGGCAGGCAATATAGTTACAGAAGAGATGAGGAGAAATTATTAAATTAAAGAACGACAGGACTCACTCGATTTCTTGATACCACAGGAATTATTCAGAAAGAGAATTGCATCCTTCTAAGAAAAAAAGAAACTCAATCCTCAGCAAGCAGAGAATACCCAGCAGAGTGGAACAGGAGAACCTGTGGTTTCTGTGCACCTACGGGGCTCAGCCTGCAAACTCCAAACTGGAAAAGTTGGATGTGAAATCTTCCTGACATTGTCCTGCCCTGCAGAAAACAGCACACACCTTTTACCAGCAAACACAGCTAAATCTGAGCCTCAGAGATCCTTCTTGAGCTCCTGTGATTGAGTGGGGAAAATTTCTCATGAGCACGGCAGAGAGTCTGAAAACAAACTCGGGGGAAAGTTTTACTTTTTATCCAGAAAAAAGCCTATATAAAATTTCTCTGGGATGAAGAAAATAAAGAAAATCTCAAGCTCTCCAAGAAAAAGACAAAAAATTGAGCACCACAAAGTGCAGTAAGACAGCAGTTTGTCTTCAGCCCCTCTTTCATCCTTTTCTCCCTTCATCCCATTCACTTCTCCTGTAGTATTACCACCAACAGTCAACAGTTTTAATATTAATTACAAATGTTAAGTGAAGTTGGATTTTAAAAAAATCAAATTATTTCAAGTCAAATAAATTCAGGAGCTATTTCTCTGCCCACACTCTTGTTGCAGTAGGCACATAACATTTACATCCCCTAGAAGTTAGACTAAGCTGCACAAACACACCAAAAATTAGTTCCATCCGCTGTTAAAACAATTTATGGGGAGAATTTAAAAAGTAGTTTTCATATAAAATGTAAGGAAAAAGGTAGACATTTTTATCTACATGCCTACATCAACAAATGCTGTCCAAAATATATATTTTTTATTCTCAATGGTGGAAAAAGAAAACTTTTTCTAAATACTCCAGAGAAATATAGAAACATCTATCTCTAGTTTTGGGAGGAAATTTATATGAACAACACCAGAAATGTAAATGAAGTGGTTAGAAAAAGATTATTTAATAGAGAAAAATATCATCATCTGACATGATTTAAAGCAGCACGCTAACACTTGTTCATCAAATTAGTGGGTCAGCAAATTATAAGAATTAAGATTTCTAAACTCACACGATCAATCCATATAGTGTAAATAAATAAAAGGATTATCAAGCTTTCCTAAATGGGGATTTAAGAAAAAAAAAAAAAAAAAAGCCAACTAAAAAAGCCCTTAAAAGTTGATCTCTTTTTTAAAAAGAAAATTGACAGTATTCCTATTTTTTAAAAGCATAGCAAAACATATGCTTTAAAAAAAAAACAAAAAACACTCAAAAGCAGGTTACTCTCCTGTAACTGCATTTTTACTGTTGTTTTCACTACCAATTTTGTAAATATTGCTCATCTTGTACAAGCTATTGAAGCTGAGAGAAGGGAGGCAGCATTTGCTGAAAGCTGACTTGGACAAGTGTACTTAACATGCATTCCGTATGATACCCATATTTTCCCTCCTTTCTCAATTCTCAGCGCCACTGACTTGAAACAAAGACACAAAAAGTGGGGTGTTTTTTGCAAACTGGAACGCTCCAATATCTTCCTGGCACAGTCACTCTCAGTTTGCAGAATGTGTCTCCACTGCCATGGAGGCAGAGCTGCTCCGCTGACTGACAGAACCACAACCCTTCCCTGAGAGGAATGGTTACAAGACAACAGAAACCCCTACCCACTTGCTTTCATTCCTGAAAATGATTTTTGAGAAATGACAACATTTACAAAATAGCTTCTCTCTGGAGGTTTAAAAGTGACTGTTGAAAGCACGCTCATTTAAAATAAATCTATACAGCACTGCATACAAAACAAATTTGCATAAAACATATAAACAGATTACATACTGCTCCTCTTGTATAATGGTACTGTAATTATTTCCTAGCAATGAAATCAACCACTTAAATATTACCCAGGACTTTTGAAGTTTGCATATTTCCTTAGTTATTTTTTAGTATATTTCTTTTTCCTTCCAGAAATGATGCAAAGTTGTTATCTCACTGCCTTATCCCACAAGCAGCCAGAATATCAGTAAGTACATCAGCATTATTTCTAAGGGAGAAATAAATAATTGCTCTGACAGGTTTCAGAGCTTCTCTAGACAACCATGCAACTCAAGCAGGTGCGAGTTTTACATGGTTGTGGGTGCTAGAAGTTCTTCACAACCTTTGCCCTCTAGATTTTATCCGAAAAGATAATTACACTGGGCATCCTGGTCATGCCGAGTGCCTTCACCGCAAGCAAGCAAAAGCAGCTCCGTTTATTTATTTTTTTTTTAATAGGGAAAGGACAGGGGTCTTTTAGGGATTTTTTTTCATAGTGTCTGGTTGTCACTGTTTATTTTTTCCCCGAAACCTAGCATGGGTTTTCAGCAAATGTCATCTTGGAAATTAACACAGCAAAAGAAAACAAACCACTCACTCTTTCTTTTTCCCCGGAAAATTATTTTTTACACAAACACGCGCAAACTTAACACATTGATACACATCCGATACAAACAACACGATCTGACACAAACCCGCTAGGGAACCAGGAGGAGATTTTACAGGGCAACAAGCTTCCTTTGCGGATTAATTAAAAGTTTTAAAAGGCAGGACCACTAGCGCAACCACCACCCCTGCAGACGAGAAAGGGCTCGGAGTTACCATCGGGATGAGAGCGATGGAGGCATCGGGGGCTGCGGCGGCTCGTCCCGGGCACCTGCCGGGGCTGGGGCTGCGGGTGCCCGGCCACTGCCCCTTCCCCGCCCCGGGGCTGCGGCTGCCCATCACCGGCGGGGAGGCACAGGCTGCGCTGCCCTCGCCAACTTCGCTCGGGGGAGGGCAGGGCGGCTGCCCGCGCATCCGTCCGTCCATCCATCCATCCATCCATCCATCCATCCATCCATCCATCCATCCCTCCATCCCTCCATCCCGAGCCAGGGCGAGCCCCGCGCTCCCGGGGCGAGGAGCCGCCGCCGCACGGGACCACCTTAACGGGGAGCAGCGGGGCGGAGGAGGAATAACGGGGGGAAGGAAAAAAAAAATTAAAAAGGAAGAAAAATAAATAGAGAAAGGGGGGAACAGTGGAAAGGAACAACGAGGAATAAACGGGTCACCCGGCCGTGCCGCGGCTCACCTTCGTTGCCGGGGCGGGCGCTCAGACGGCCGGCAGCGCCGAGCGCGGCGCGGAGCAGCAGCAGCAGCAGGAGCAGCAGCAGCGGCGGCGGCGGTGGTGGCGGCAGGCGGCGGCGGCGGTCCATGTCGGCAGGGCAGAGCGCAGGCACAGCCGCATCCGCGCAGCGCCCGCCCCGCTCCGCGCCCCGCCCACCACCCCGCCCCGCCCGGGCGGTGGAGCCTGCCCACAGAGCGCCGAGATGCCCCTCTAGCCCCGGGAGATAACCCCGAGCGTGCCCCCCGCCCCGGGAGATAACCCCGAGCCCGCCCCCAGCCCGCGGAGATGCCCCGGAGTCCGCCACAAGTCTCGGGAGATAACCCCGAGCCTGCCCCCCGCCCCGGGAGGTGCCCCGAGCGCGGCCAGCCCCGGGAGGTGCCCCGTCACACGGAGCGGGGGCTCGGCAGAGCGGGTGGGTGGCACGAGTCACGTAACTCGGGAGCCTCGGGTGGGTGTCGTGGCCAGCTACGAGCCGGTCGTGTCCAATTACCGGGCTCTCCCGGCGGGAATGCAGCGGCAAAGCAGCGGTAAAACCCCGGGAGTTTCAGGCTGCAGCCGTGGCCGGCTTGCCGGAGAAGCGAGCGCCAGTTCCATCGTTCGGCCCTTGGCCGCCCGCGGTGACAGCCTGCACCACTCGGGGCCACAACTCCGGCCCCAGAGCAGGCTGGCTTTGCCATCACTAAAGCAACCTGGAGCAGGGGCCTCCACCCGAGGGCTGCTCTCTGTGGGAGTGTGTAGCTCTACTCTAGAAGTTGCCATGTAAAATGAGTGGTTTTTTTCCTCATGCTCGCACCTTTCCTTCAGCCCTTGCAGCCCGTCAGAGGCCCCAGAGTACCTGTCAGAGCACAGAGCAGAGAAACAGAGCTGCTATTCCGCTGCTCTCAGGGGGAATCACTGCAGAGCAGCGCTTCCCAAGCTTCCCCTTCTGCAGATCGGTTTTTTTTCAGAATATGGACAACTTCCTTCCCAAGTGACTCGTCTCAGATCTCCAGAGCTGCCCAGCATGGTTCTGTGGAAAATGGGGAAATATCTGAATAATACCGAGGTCAAATAAATATTTCACTCCAAACCAAAGCTATGCATCCTCATAGTACAGAGGCTAGCTCTGAATGCATGTGCTGTCTGCACACGCAGCAAGCAACAGGATGGGAGGAGAGGAGCCTCTGGCAACAGATGTGGAACTACGTCTCAGAATTATCCAAAACCTTTGATAGCAGACAAGCCAATACCCAGCGCTTCTCAAACCAGTGTGGTAAACATCTGAGGTAAACAGCCTCCTTCTTCATTGTCCTGTGTGTTCTGGTGTCCTCACGGTCACCAGGGCCAGCAGGACAGCTGGGAATTGCTGCCTGCAGCACCTGAGCTCCAGGTTCATCAAACAACACAGAATCACCAGCTTGCTTCAGCAGCGATGCAGCTTCCCTGCAGCAGAAGAGGTGGTGCTGGACTGGTAGCAAGGCAAGACCCGTGCCAAGGTCTCTCCTGCACAGTATTGGCACCCCCCAAACATCTGGTTTAACTCTGCGCTGCACTGAAGGGTTTGGAAATGTATGGAAACCAAAGCAAAGCAGAGACAAGGCTGTGAGAAGTCATCTCAGACAGGTTCCTCGTTCAGAAGAGCACAGGGGAGCACATGAGCACTGAAAATTAACATTATATTAATCTCCTTTCCTGTTTCCAGGCTTGATTATTCAATCAACCAAATTAAAGAAGCATCAAATTTAATACCATTTGTTTCATGTCTCCAACCCTTCCTTTCACTCATATTTACCATCTGCACTGTTTCCTCTGTGGTCAAACTTCCAAAAAATGGAAAAAATGCCCAGAGCTCTTGAGCAGGAAACCTGCAAGGGCAGAGGGAGGAGCAGGCTGGTCTGGTCATGCAGTTCACCATGTATGGCCCAGAGAAAAACATCTCCTGACCTCCTTTATCCTTCTCAAGTCTCATTTCACCACACCTTTCCATTCATTGGACAAAGATGCTTTTCCACACCAAGAGGACCAGAAATATTCATATTCCTCAAAATATAACTTTCCCCAATATTAAAAACTATTTTGCTTTAGTCTGAAGGGGTTTATTGCCAATATTTTCCTTAGCTTTTTTAGAATACACAACTGTTTTCATTGAGTTCTGTCATACAACAGAGATATATCCTTAAAACCCTACTAAGTTCTCAGGACTACTAGTTCTGATCTCTCTGAAGCTGCATCTTTCTTTCACAATTTCAGGTATTTTTTTATGGTGTGAGAAAAAGATGAAGGAAAAAGGGTAAAGAAAGAACAAATCGGGGGGTGGGGAGTGGGGAAAAACAAAGATGACAATCAACCCAAAACCTGATAAACTTCTGTTTTCATTTAGTGGAAAAAAAAGTATTTCCAAAGAAGGGAGTTTTTGAGGCTACTCATAGCAATCACTTTCTAAATTTGTAAATATCTCAGCATCACTGAACTCATTTCATACAGGAAGAAAAGTATAATTATCAACACAATCCATATAATATAAATTTTAGTATCAAACTTTCCAGAAAGAAAACCTCCCAAGTGAAAAAATGAATAGCAGAAATACTTGGAAAAATTTGAAACAAAAAATGCATTTTTAAAAAACTTCACTAAAAAAACCCCCACAAACCTGGGAAAATTCTCAGCAGGAAAGAAAGATTAAATTCATTACAAATTTCTCACTAGGCTTTTTTCTCTGTGACGCACATTCTGTTAGTTTTGTGCAAATTGCATGTTTACTCTATTAAGAGTAATTTTCTGTGAGCTTAAAGGGCACCTTTGAAGAAAGAAAATAGCCTCTAGTGGCATTTCTACATAACCAGAGTGCACATGGTAATATCTTTGCCCTAGCATCCATAAAATCCTTCTGGAGAAACACATAACTATGATTTATGATTTTCTGCCAAGCCTGGGCTTTAATTTCTTTAATATATTGGAGATCAAAATCCTTACTAAACACAAATTTTATCTCTTACATTTTTCTTTTGTAAACAGGGAGGTGACACATTCTGTGATTGTATAATGGAAAAAAGAAATCATAACACATGGGCAGAATGCTCCGGATCCCACGTTTGCATACTAAATAGGAAAACAACTTTCTGCCTAATGAAAAAATGCTACAGATTATTAGGAATAGCCACAGAAGTAATCAATCAATTTATCCAATGGACTGGGCCACAGCCTGCTTCCAAGAAGCTTTTTAATGTTTATGTCTCTTGAGTGGCTTCGTTTAATTAATTGAATGACACGAAACTTCTAATCTTAGAGATTTAAAGTATTTTCCTTAAAAACAAACAAAAAGAATTAATGACAGGTTCACTACTCATAAAGAAAGGTGGCTGGACAATCCCCATTTATTCAGGGAGGAGGCAGAACAATGGTCCCCAAGTGATGCCTCGCCTGTGCCTCCATGGGATTGTTGAGAGGCGTGAGAACATTTCCCCCTCAATTTCTGGGATTTATTTATGCAGGTTCTTGTTTGTTATGTGGATGCACCTCCCTTCACACAGACCTGCAGTGACAGAACTTTTCCACATAAATCATAACAGGGACAGCTTTTCCCAGTAATCAGTTAGGCTTCCAAATAACCACCTCAGTATATATATAAACATGTGTATATATATCTGTGTGTGTGTAATATATATATGTATGTATATATGTATGTATATGCATCTGTTTTAATGTTAACTATTTAGTGTTCAGGTAAAAAGTATTTTGATGGAAGCATTGCTGCTTGAGTTCATCCTAAATCTGACATGAGCCACTCTTGGAGATGGTGACCAAGGAGGAAAAACCCTCCCACGAGCCACCAAGTAGATTCCCTTGGTTTAAATATTCTTTGGGAAAGGTTTTACAGCATAACTCAAAGGTCTCCTAATGCACTGTGTCGCCCTGAAAATGCAAGCAGATGAGGAAATGCAGGATGTGGAAGAGTAAAAGGCAGGATGCAATAAAAACAAATGATAATGAAGTGTGAAAAGTTACTTTAAATAAGTCATGTAAAGCTAAGCTATAGCCCTTTCCAATCAATACTTACATAATAATTATGTGAAAATCCAGACAAATGGATTAACTAGACAGCATAAAAAACTCAGCTTTGAGCAGCAACAAAGCTGAACTTGTAATTATGAAACAACTGCACACCAATCCCGTAATGAAAAAAAGCATGGAGATGGAAAAGGGTAGAAAAGCAAAATGCAAATGCATTTGAGCTGCAAGTTTTCCCCATAAAGTCTGAATCGTTTGTTAAATATGCAATAAAAAGGTGACAGTCCAAGCACTTAGACTGAATTTACCTTTCTGTAAACAAAAATCTATAGAAGCCATAAAAGAAAAGCTTCACCAGCATTACTGCCAGTTTTCAGAGAAAAGCAACATTTATGTGCAGGAGAGAGTATTGCTACCATGAAAGAGCTTGCCAAATTTTAGCTTTAGGATGGGGCACTTATAGTAGAAACCCATGAATCCTGTAAAACCAGACTGTATTATGGAGACACTGGCAGACCTCCCATAAGGTGTATAATGATAAGTTTGATCAGTTTGTTTTTCTTCTTGCAGGTCACAAAGCATGTTCAGAAATGTTTTGTGAGACCAAAAAAAAAAAAAAAGACAACCAAGAAATAAAATTATTTATTCTCATGTATTTCAACTCACTGACTTTTTTTTTTCTCCAGAAGAAAGTCCAAGGCCAGGGTTGGACAAAAAATAGGCAGACACATTTTAAAATAAATATGACAGTACTTCTAATACCAGGGATCAACATCCAATCTGGGGAATGCACTTGGAGAGCACGCGGGCAAAATTCTGTAATCTGGCTGAGCTGGATTGGAAGAATTCCCTTGTCTTTGCAGAGCCAGGCTTGCACACTGACAGCAAAATGGGTCGTCTATTTTTGCCAGCTAAAAAACAGAGAGAAACACTCATGGCCAACTGCAATTTTAAACAGCAGAATGCAAACACTCCAACGAGTTTGTGTTCACAACATGTGAGAACTCCTTAACAGTTTCATTTCCACAGGGAACATTTTGCATTTAACTGTTGATTTTTTTTTTCTTCAGTAAAGAATACCTGAGATTCTGCAAATGATTGAGCTACTTCTGTATTTTCAGGTCATT